ATTGTGTTTAATTTGTTCAGGGTAGATTTGTTTAAAAGGGGAGGAACACAAAAATTCAGAAAGTATGCAAACTGAATTTGGGTAAATACAGGATTTTGATTATAAATGAAAAAAAACCTGTTTATAAACTTTAAAATTAGATTCCAGTAAGTTTAAATTTAGGACACAGTGCTTTCTCATGTTGAGTAGAAATAAGGATGTCTGCAGTAAAAGAAACAAAAGAAAGTTGTAAGTATAAGATATAAGGGAGGTCCTGACAGAAACATCAGGCAGAGCCCTTATGTGGTCTGAGCAGAGCAGTTCATTATGATGGGAATCCAGCTAGAATCAGTGAGAGAATTTATTTCAGATGTGTTATTTTTGTGGTTTTTCGGGTCTGTTGTTCCACTTATTGATTCATAAAACAACACTCACAAAAGATCTTGCTGGGCTTCTACTGCTAAGATTTTAATTAAAGGCAAATCTAAGCATCAAAGAGTCTCTAACAGTGATCCATTAATTTGTTTGGAAATATCTTTTCCTGATGTCCTGGGTTTCTAGAAGCTTAACTAACTTAGCCATTTTACCTTGGAAAATGGCTAAGTTATATTTCATTAAAATAAAAAGCATTCACAGATAAATTTGACAAAGCCCAGCACCCCATGTGCTTCATTGAAATTTGAGAAAAGCATTAATAAAGTTCAATGAGATTATAGGATTAAATTTACAGGGGCAGATGCTTTATTAACAACTTTGAAGCACTGTGTCTGCAGGAAGGATAGTAGGCACAGGAGCTCATTTGCTAGTATGATGAAGAATGATGGTTAGTTTTACAGCTAAATGGATAGAGGCAGAAGAGTTACAGGGAAAGAGGACTAATGGATAACTGTGGTGAATAACTGAAAGTGAGGCGTAGCTTGCTTGTGATTGATCTGTGGGTGCAGTACTTCACTGACCACTGTAAATTAATTTTAGGATATTTGTAAGGACATACTGAAAAGCTGAAATAAGATGGAGAATACCCAATTTAGCTTACAAAACAATTACTTGGACTGCAAAGACTTAATTCTTTTCATTCGCCTTTTCCGTAAGTGGCTTTAAAATGCCATGCCTCAGGTTGCTTTCAGAAGTCTTCAATGAATAATTAAACTCTCTGCAATGTGGGAAAAAAAAATAAATTCCTTGCTTTTAAATAGAAATGAGATGTTGCTAATTGTTGGTGCTTGCTGGAAACTTCTCTGTGTTCTGTTTTTAATAATGCCATACAATAATAATTTAATACTTTTTTGTTGATGGAGAGAGTTCCACAGGATGTTGTTTTTTTCTGCTATTCCTGGTTGTCAGCCTGCATTGCCAGTAACTGACTTCTGTAACTTCAGGCTGTTACTAGCATTCAGAAAGAAAGGGCAGATACAGAGGCAGGCCATTTAAGCAATCTTAATGCTAACTTTGGCACAAAATTGCATTTCATTGTTGGTTTAAACTTGTCACTGTCAGCATCTTCAGTCAACTGTCATAGTACCTCCAGATAATAATGTTAATCCTGCACAGTTTAGATAAAATTCAAGTGAGTAGTTTAAACACAGAAAGAAAAAGGGATGCTAAGCTTGGAAGTACTCTTTTTCTGTACAGAGTTCAGTGTGATATTTTTCTCTTGTAAACAGCCACAATCATGGCATTCTCTCTTTTTTCCCCTCTTCCCCTTTGTAATTTAAAATCAAGGTAGGAGGGAGCTGAACACAGTGGGAGACCCACTGACTTTTTGAAATGCATGTCTGGAAACTGTGCAACAAATGAAGCCAGATTTTGAGATTCAAGTACTAATGCATATGATAAAGTTAAAAGCATCATGCTTTTTCTATAAAAAGTAAATTTGAAGTCTTTCTTTCTTGGGGAAGAGGAATCTGATCTTTATTGAACTTTGGAAAATTATGTGAGCAACACATAACCATATTTTCCTTCAAAATAACATTAGCCCTCTGCTCACTATAGTGGGAGACTAGTATTCATTCTCAGTCATACATACCTAGGCAGAGGCTGAAATACTTGGATAGAGCAGATGTCACTGCTGTCAACAGCCCCTAGGAAAGATACAACAGGAAATAACAAGCTGCTGAATTTTTGGTTACTAATGTAGAAACTAAAAGGAGGAGTAGATACCTAAGTACATAATAAAATCCATTAAGTAGCTGCTTTGAAAGAGAGTTATTTCACATTATTACAATCTTGCTACAGAGGTCTACAACAGAAGAAATATATCAATATTTAACACACTTGTGTAGGAGATGAGTTTACAGAGTTGCTAAAAGTCATCAAGATGGTAGAGCAAGACAGCAAGGACAATGCCTAATTTGGAATCCACTGTAAACTACTATGCTGGGAGGACGAGGTAAACAAAGTGTTTTTTTATCAGCCAATAAAATTATCCAAGTGCTGAATGTAAGGTAATTGGCATTTTGAGTTCTGAGCCATCTCTTGGGAAACAAACAGTGCAAGTTTTTGAAATATGCCATGGAAAATGTTTTTAAATGGAAAGTGAAGAAAACTGCAAGGAAGTAAACTCTTTTATATTCATTTCTGACCTGTAAGTATGAGCTATGCTGAGAGGTGGAGAAAAAAGTGGGAAGAATTACACCCCACAAATACTTGTCTCCATAGATTCTATGGAGAAATTGGGTGGGAGGCTGAGATCTAGGTATGCACTGTAGGTATCTAAATTTATATGAATGAATTCTTATACAGGTCACATTACTAAAGAAGTATTTAAGAAAAGAAAGCAGGCATGCAATCAGGAGCATCTATGGAAGGATCCAAACAATGAGAACATAGTCTGTAACTACAGAATTTTGAAGTTGATAGTGATAAGATTTTCTCTCATCTTAACAGGAAAGAAAAACCAATAACAGACAGCCAACATTTAATGCATCTTTTGCTCAGTCTTCACTAAAGCAAAATACTCCTTTGAACAGATAACCAAAATAATTAAAGTGAGTGCCAAAGTCCAAAGACTTTGATTTGCGTCATAGAAAAAGCAAATAAAAGATTGAGCTGCCTTTGATTTTGCCAACTCCAAGGGTTGTTAGTTTTTGTGTGCCATGCAACACTGATTAGGATAGGAGTCTAGAACAGGGAGGTGTGTAGGAATTCCAGGAGGTGATGCTTGATCTGAAGCATTTTTTAATGTGGTGATTGGAATTAAAAAAAAATAAAATAAAATTTCTGTACTGAATAGCCATCATATTGCTTGCTGTAGTGGGGGGAGGGATGGAAGCCTGAATTCTTAATAAAGAGTAATCACTCTTTATAAGCAGGATATTTTATGCAACAGTTGATACATTTTATGCTTGAAATTTTGGTAATATCAATTATCATTAGATTATACCCTGGCTGAAGAGCATTAGGCTCTTTGAGTCATGTTTATCATGCTAGCCATGCTCAATATGAATGGCTTAAGGTTTCACATACATACTTTCTCATTTTCTGGTTGTGTGCTTCTCAGAAGTACAGAAACATTAGCTTCTGTACACTAAGCATAAATTATCTTTTATCTGTGAGTTTTATGGCAGTTTGTAATACAAGGTAATAGGATTTATGGCCAAGAAATGAGAAGATGTCCAAGAGTTAATGAGGCCTGTCTTTTACATTATACTGAGCAGTTCAGTTTTCCCCATGCAGGATTCCAGCCCTGGGATGTAGAGAAGAATTGCTACCTGCACATGAAAATGTGTTACAGCAGCGTATTTCTGCCAGTAAGCTAAGGCTTTTGAAAGAGT